TTCCGGCGGTCTTTCAGCCATTTCACTAGTTCCGCATGCGACGTGCCTATGAGACGAGGCGCATCGACGGGAGTGAATATTGGCATTGCAATTTTTCTAGGTTGAAGTCTTGACTCTCAGCAGCTACTGCTGCAGCAGTTGCTGCCCTCGTCCTTGGCTCCGTGTTCTTTGTCATGGTTAGCTGTCGATTCCCGACAGCTAAAGTCGACTTTGTAGTGGGTTTCGATAACAAAACACTCCAAATGGGGAAGTTGGCACTTCCAAAGACTAGTTCGCCGATTGTATTCCTAATGAGCTCCGTTGAGCAAATGGAAAAGTGAACAGCACCATGGTTGTTGCACTTCCTTTCTGCTAGACTAACACATGTCCTGATTGCATTCAACCATAACCCGTTCCTTGTTCAACCCTGAACTATCTTATTGAATTTCTAACCGCCAGCTAGTGTACTTAATGTTCGATCTCCTGCACACTCCTGTGAGTGAGATTTGGCTCTGCATTAGCCATCTCCTACTACAGTCCCCCCCCAAGGCTAATCTCGCCAAATGTAGTCCATCACAATCGGGTTTCAACGCATTCAACCAGAACCCGTTCCTAGTTAAACCCTGAGCTATCTTATTGGATTCCTAACCGCCAGATAGTGTACTTGGTGTTCGATCTCCTGTACACTCCTGTGAGCGAGATTTGGCTCTGCATTAGCCATCTCCTACTACAGTTGGCCAAGCGTAACATCATTGTAAATTACGACTAGCCGAAGTAATTTAATCACGTGAATGAGACCTCAGCTATCCTAAGCGCATCGCTCATATCCTTCTTGTGATCGCGTATTTACTAGGACTGCAGTAATAGTATGCTGTAAAGTACAACGCATGGGAAATAATATCATAATAAAGTTTGAGCAGACCAAATTGACAAGTACCTATTTTCTGGCATTCTGAGTATGTGTGTTAACTTAAGCTCCTCCTGCTACTGACGTTCATTATAATATGGACAAGCCAATAAAGCAACTACCTAGTGTAGTCCAGCGCTTCTCCATGAAACACGGCTTTGTGGCATCTTTTTACCGTATAGTAGCTTTCTCTGCGTAACTAAGTCGGAGGCGATCTAGTAAGGGTGGTAGCACAGTTGACTGCTTCTACCTACCTGTAAAGACCCTGTTGCGCAATCTAAATCGCTACTGTACCAATGATGCCGCCGATTTATATTGCCACAGGATGGCGTGGTAAAACCGAGCTGCAAGTTCTAGCTCCAACAGCAGCCATATAATTATATCTTACATGTAATCAAATTAGTACACACTTCTTTTATAGAAGTGATACATAGTTATATAGCTGTTTTTTTTTTTGCTAAAGCTACAGGGAGACGTTATCTTACCTACGTTGTCTGCTCACCGTTGTGATTCCTGGGAATGTATGACCAACGTATCAGTCGGCAATCAACATTTGCAGCGACTTCTGCGAAATTTTATTAGTGCCACTGTCATAACTGTTGTCCCGTGCAGCTCAGTACTATCAGATATACTGAGCGCTCCAGCCGGTATTCCGGATTATAGTAGATTGTACTGGGAATGCGTCATTGAGGTATGGACAGCTCACACCGGATTGATTCCACAGTACTGTGTAGATCGAGGTATTGGTCAAGATTCGTGTCACCGGCAAAAACAACATTTTTTTAACTGCAGAAACGTATTCTGAATAAATGAGCTCGTGAGGTTTTGACGAAAAGATTCTGCTGTTGTTTTGTTCGTTTCAGGTGGCTTGTTCAGAGGCCCCTGAGGAGCATTACACCTCGGGCATTTGCACAGAAAAAAGATTTTAAAAAGTCGCGTATTGTACGCTGCAACGTTAATTTGTGCAGGAAAAAGAAACAAACAGTCGAATGCAGCTGCTACACCAGCCAAAAAAACTTATCTGAGAAAAGGGTTCTTTTAATGTTGCCTTTCTTTCTGTTGTAGTATTGAAGCCTTTATCTCTAATATTAAGTATTGGCCAGTGTCACCGAGAATTCCGGAGGTCTATTGTGCAAATTGTGTCCGACCATTCTTCATCAAGTAGGCAAGTGTTCTCAACAAATTTGGCAACAAAAGAAAAAAAGAAACAGTTGCAAAATGGAATGCAAGAAGCCCGTTTGTGCTGTCGATACAGCTTCTCTGGACCAGATTAATTTATTTATTGTGCGGCCTACTCGAAATATCCGTCGCTATTCTTTGAATGAACGCACACGCAATAGCTGTTAATGACTTGTCTTGAGAGGAAATCCACTTAAGTACGATGGGGCCGTTTCGAAATACAAATATCGCTCTCACTTCCGGTATCGTGGTCCGACCATCTCCTTGGATTTGATATATTCTATTAAAGTAAAAAGTTACAAGCTCAACTGTGAGGCTAGGATAATGACAGCTTCTACGTCTGCATCGGGTCCGTAGCTGGATTGCTCGGTTGATTTACTTCTCTCATTTACGGCATTAAAAGTTATGCCTGTGTGGCGAAAACAGTTCTCGATAGTACGCTTACCTTGTAAATCTTGCCAAATTTCCTTGCTCCATTGCATTGCCTGCAGCTGATCCACAGCATATGCCTTCCTTTCAATCTCAACACCGTCCTGATCTTGTCGAAAACCCACCGCAACTGCTTCTTTCGGTACTCCAGCTTAAATGATGCAATGATGCCAGCATCCATCGGTTGTAGGAACGCAGTAGTGTTGGGGGGGAGAAACTCCACACGGATGTGGGTACATACAAGATCCCCCAGCTTGTGTGAAGAAGCGTTGTCAAGCAGCAAGAGAATATGGCGTCCACACGCACGCATATCTCTATCCAGATTAAGCAGCCATTCCTTAAAAATAAAGCCCGTCATCCATGCTTTCTTATTAGAGCGATAGCAAAATCCCAGCTCATCAGCTGTACGTTTCTTGAAGCAGCGGGGATTCTTTGCATTCCCCAGAAATAGCACCGGTAACGCGTCAGTCCCATCCGCATTCGCCGTGAGAGCGAGTGTGATCCGAGTCTTATTTTTCTTGGCACCACGGGCTTTCCTTGTGCAAATGGAGCGGGACGGAGCCATAGCATAGCAGAGTCCCGCTTCATCTATATTGTAGATATCTTTAGGTTCATAAAGATTGGTTACATCTTGTAGTCGCTGTCGGCCAAGGGCAACTTCAACAGGATCAGCAGAACCAGCTTCACCAGGAAGCTTCCGGCTTCGCAAGCGATGCCTCCGCTCGAACGCGGTTAGCCATCCGTCCGAAAAATTCATATCCCATGCGTCAGGTAGGTTCTTCTGAATCTCACGAGCTTTAAGCCTAATTAAGTCTCGTGAGAGACATATACCACTACCTTCTACTTTTAAAATCCACTCTATTAAGAGCTTCTCCAGAACAGGCGAGGTCACACGTAGCGGTTTCCGCCTCACGCCATCACCGTAGCTGCTGTTCATTATCTTGGAGGCGTCTTTAAGGATATCGGAAACAGTAGTTTGCGCCGGCGCTCGCTTCAGCTTGAACGTCGCTTTTTCCCATGCCGCCAGCTCTTCTTGCGTCATGCTGGGGCAGTCGCTCGCCTTCTGGATGAGATCGCGCTTCTGTTTTATCTTCATCCAGGCTCCCATGGGTATGGGCCGACGTAAATTACGCACTGCTGGACATTAACACGGTTCTGCTCTGTAGAATGACTGGAGCTGAGCGATTCCCGCCAGAAACTCCCTCCTTAAAACAGCTGCATCGTTTTGCTCAGGGTATTAATTTATACCAGTACCGGAATAGAGAGCGATGTTTGTAACAGGGAATTGATATTCGAGTTACTCACTGAACAGGACCAAAATGGCAAATTTGGTCGGACTTCACAATAAGAAATTGTATTCGAAGAAATAATGCTTATCTTCACAAATTTATCCAGTAAAATCGGGCATTCGCTGTTCAGAGTGCTTCTCTTGTATCATTGATGAGGCGATTGATAGTTGATTGAGACACCGAAAATACATTTTATAAACTAAATGTTACCTATCAAAACTCGAAAAGAAAACAAGCCCAATTTTAAACAAAACTGTATTTGTATTCCCAGTGTATGTCGTAGACGACCTTACTTCATTCACCTTGACAAAACCTGGTACTGTGTCGCCGCTTTATGAACATATTTCCTCTTTTTGCTGCAGCTGGAAGTCAGGGGGGTGGATTGGTAACTGCACGACTGTGCCGGTTGTGCCGTCTCGCACGATTTGGAATGTGGTTGGCGGTTCGCTCGGGAAGTGCACGCTCTCAAGTATGCCTAGCTTGCCGTTGGCAACACCCTTTGCGGTGCCGATGTTTTGAGTCACCTGGACTGGCATGCCCGCAATCAAGTCCAAGTACAGTGCCATACGCATTCACAAAAACTCGATTCTACATCTCGACTTTAGTTACTGTGGCTAAAGAAACTTGCAGCGGCTGCGCGCTCTTTTTTTCTTGCATGTATGTACTTATTCAGATCAAGTGCTTTTCAATGGCATTCTGTCGTGAAATAGAGTGTAAATCGCCGCGCCATCTGCAATTTTCAATTTTTCTTGACCGACTGACCAAATCCGTGATTTGCTCGCGGGACCTCCTGTTAATTTATGTATGGCGAATGTGATAGACCTTTAATAATTCCCCATACCTCCAATAGTGCCCCCTCCATCCACCCAAGTATCTGTTTTGCAAAATACAGCTAAATCTAGGCTTAAAAATTATACTTTCCTAACCCCAACACCTAGTCGTAGAATGGTGAAAACTTCCTCGGGCGGTTCACATTGCTCCATCCACAACTTGGTCATTGTTTTGCGACTTGTGGGAGATTCCAAGAACAGAAATGTTTGCATCTTATCGATATGTTCCTTCAAGGTGCAGCAGCATTACCACGTCATCACCAGATATTATATGTTACAACAAGGCAAGCATCCCGCCGTCCCAGTAGGTGTCGTGAGCCAATACTCCTTCACGTAGTAGAACCAGTGGTGAAAAGCTGGGGTCTCATTCAGTTTCGGACCTGCTTTATGAAGATGGTGGTTTTGCACCTGTGTGTGGAAAGGCGGCGTCATGTCATAGATTTAGGTTTCTACAAGGACGGTATACGCGCAGCGCTCCCAGCTGTAGGTCTGGGAAGTCAGTTTTGGGAGGATCCTAGTCAGGCTATCTCCCATGTAGATTCCAAGTCGCCCGAGCGGCGGAATCTACAGCCCGACGCGATTCCAGCCCCGACATCTCCACCAATCGTCGGTAGCACCGATTCGCAAGACGTGAGTTTCGATGGGGCGCGGAGGTAGCAGAGGCTGCCTTAACCGATCGGTCGCGCTTCGTGAATTCCATGGATGTGCTGGAAGATACGTCTGCCGTTTAGGTCGGAGTGGGTCGCTCTGTGGCGGAGCCCCGTCTATCGGATGCAACAAGGACCAGTGGCGCGCCTCGGTGGACACACCAGCGTGACGAATTAACACCTGACGCGACAGCTGCGTCAATGCGTATACGCGCTGCGCTATCAGAACAGCCTGACCTGCTTCAACAGTACGCTCGCCGGATCAGCGTGGTGGGACAGGAAGCCAAATGGACCCGATACTCAAGTATCTCTGACATACTGGCGGGGGACGAGACACCGGCCTGGTCAGACCGTCAGCACACCTTTCGCCCTCGACACGGCAGCAGGATTCCCACGACCTCATCTGTGCCGACGATCACCAAGGTAAGCTCCCTGAATCATTTGTTGACCACGCCCGTGCCTCCCGTGCCACAAGATTTGCTCCGCACCTGGCCATATCAATCCGTCTGTACGCCTTTCCCTTTGGCATCTGTGGGCTATCCGATCTCCACTTCCGTTGGGTTGACCGCAGTACCCAGATCAGCCTCGCCAGCTTAATCCAGCTCAGCTCAAGGAAACATTCGGTCGGAATGAGCTGCCCCGCTGCCCTGGCGTCTTCTCATGCCGATCAGAAGGCAGCAGTAAGCGTACTAGGCACCTACAGCGACGAAATCTATTCGACTGTGGCGCGGCTAAACGCACGCGGACAACCAGTCCAACAAAGCGCTAAATGGTGGACACCTCAAGAGGCTACTCGCAGGTTACGAGCACCAGAATCTGGTGCTAGAGACAATACGTTATGGGGTTCAACATACATTTCGAACGGATCGGAGCGGGTCGGTCTGTCCTAAAGGAGGTGGGGTTGATAAAGACAACTATAAACGTGCTCTCGAAATGGAGAGCGCACCATTGCGCAGTATCCGGGACGAGCAGGGCAACGGCACCTATCTTGTACTAGATGACGATGTCGTCGACGCGTGGCCTGGGCTCCACATTAGCTCCTTCGGTTGTGTCCCGATAGCGATTACGGACCCTCGCCTTAAAGTACGATATATACATGACCTATCATTCCGGACCATCCGTGAGCGACGCATCCAACCCCGATGATCCCCCGCAGCTGACGTACGATCCTGTTGGAGCACTAGCAGCACGTCGGATTGAATTGATCAAGAGCAAGAAACCTCGAGCGGGCGTGAAGCTGAAGCGTGGCGACGTCAAAACGACTTTAGCCACCTTCACGGTCATCCACGGGTATGTCCAAGAATTCCTGGCCCCTCTTCGCAAACAGGGAGTAGTAAAGATAGCCTTGGCGCTGCCGTTTGGGTGGACATGATCCTTAGCCCACTACGGCGCCTTCGGTGGAGCAATTACTGTCTTGGTGCGTCGCGAGAGTCCACCTACGCGTGTATTCGGTAACCGAAATAAGGACCAATTCTTTGGCTACCCATGGGTTGATGACCACGTGATCGTCGAGGAAGACCGCACTGACCACCTCAAGCTCTGCAAAGTAGCGCTACGTCTTGCCATACTCGCGATATTAGGACCGAGATCAATCAACGGTAGCAAATTCACGCCATGGGCAACGTCGTGCCGGGCATTGGGCCTCGACTGGGATACAGCGCGCCGAACCGTTTCTATGCCTCCTGCCAATATCGCCAAAGCTCTACTGCGCGTTCGCGGCCTGCGAACATCAAGATCGGTATCACGGACGAGCTTTAGCTACTTATTAGGCTCACTCCGGCATGTCTACAGCCGCATTCGAATAGGTGCCCTTTATCCAACGCCTCGCTGCTTTTCATCGGCGCACACCTCAATAGGGTACGACTACACTGTCAGGTGATGCACTGCTTAGCGTCTTATGAATCAAGCACATTCTGGTACATGGGGTACCGTATTTCGGTCATCTACACGATCCCGAGGTACATATCTACGTGGATTCAAGTAACCCGGGTTGGGTACCATCCACCCGGCTGCCAAGGAGGTTTTACGCGTCCAGTTCGACCAGGCTGAGCGTTATATGATCGCGGCGAACAAGCTCTCCATCAGCGCGCGGAAACAGCTCTTGGCGATATTCGCCGTGCTATACTGGGGGGGGGGCGTCGCGGGTCGACAAGTGCATCTATCCTCTCCCATGTTCGCTTTTGGACTGATAGCAGTGCGGCTGTATCATGGTGCAACGCACTGCACACCCGCGAACCACAGACTCAGACGCTTAACCTTGTTATTGAGGCGGTCGAATCGCGATGAAGATTGAGAGTATTCGCTGCACACCTTCCGGGTGAACTCAACCACAGCAGCTTGCTCACAGTCTCGGCTATACCGTATGGCCCGTATTTGGTCGGGGCGCCGCCACAGGTGAGCTTACTGGAACTTTTGCGGCTGTGGAAGCTAAACGAAGGCCTTACCAGTGAATTGAAAATAGCTAGATAATTTGATTAATGATATGCTTCTGAAATTGATTTATAAACTGAAGAAGTGTAAAGTTGTACAGAGGTTTCTGTTTATAAATACGTTTAAGTACGGAAAGGTACTTACTTAGTATTTACAGTGCGCGTCGTAATTATAGCCGCACCTGAAAAATAGAGCTCTTGCGCCGGAAACTGAGACGTCGGCTTGAAGCCAGGACGCAAAATCTGGTTTGAGGTCAGGTCAGAATTATAGCCGCACTTGCAGGCTCTACATGCAAACGGCTCTAGTAACCCGTCTTAGTTCCTTTTAACAGCCGCGTCGCTTCCAGCCGCTTTGGGATGCTTCGCACTAGCTTCTTAACATACTCAGGATCAATGCGAGACCACTTTAACTTGATCTGTCGGATCAAGTCGGCAGGCTTGTCAAATTGGCGTCCGTTGGCGTACACCCGGCGAGCTAGAAGCCCCTACACGTTCTCTATGATGTTCAGATTGGGGCTTTTGGCAGGCCACGCTATTGGTTCGATGTTATGGGTGGCTAGGAAGCCCTTGGTGAACCTCGAGGCATGTATGGACGCGTTATCATGTTGGAAAATGGGGGTCAAATTGCCCAACTTTGACCCCAGTTCTCTTAGGCATGGAAGCATGCCGGAGGTCAGCGTCTCGGTGTACTTGACAGAGTCCTGCTTCCCCTTGAGGAAGACCAGCTCGGTGTTGCCATGCCAGCTCACCCCCGCCCAAATCATGACGCTTCCTCCGCTTCGACATGAGTTTGGGCGCTGCTCGCAGGTCGTGTCAGTAGAATCTAAACCCATCAAGGCCATCTAGGTTAAACTTCTTCTCATCCGTGAACAGCACGCGTCTCCATAAGACCTTTTTACTGGCGTAACGCTCCGCAAATGCTACCCTAGCCTTCTTATGATGCGGCTTGATGGCAGGGGTAAGTTTTCTCTTCGCGTACGTGACGTAGTGGTTGCTACGTAGTACGCGGAGTACCGTAGACTTGCTTGGTGTCGATGGGAGCAGTCCTGCGATCTCTTGGGCGGACAGGTTTCGAACAATTGCCAGTCGAATGACGCGCCTGGCCTCCCGGCCAACTATTTTTGGCTTTCTTCCTGTCCTCTTCGTCAGCGAGGACGCCTTCCCGCGCTTCAAGTAGCTCCTTATTGCCTTCTCGTCGCGTCCTAAGAGCCTGTCGATCTCTCGGTTGCTTTTCCCGCCTCTGAAGTGCTCGTTTATCATCATTCACTCCTCCTCGGTTAGCTGCTTGCCTCATGGCATCGTTTCTGGCTTCCCTGTGAATCTAAGAATAGGTTCTAAAAGGTCTTTCACAAGGCTGTCCACAGGTCTCATTTATTACATTTAAAAGCCAATCATTTTTGTTTATTATTTCACTGAATTTTAAATTACCAAGTGCGGCTATAATTCTGACCCGACCTCAAACCAGATTTTGCCTCCTGGCTCCAAGCCGACTTAGTCGTTTTCAACCTCGCTTGCTGCACAAGTCTTCTATCCCTTGAAGACGGCCTCCGAGCCCTTCGATTGCAGGCAGGTCTCATTTTGCGGCGCAAGAGCTCTATTTTTTAGGTGCGGCTATAATTACGACGCGCGCTGTACATAGAACAGTTGGTTTTTCGATTTAGGTTACTTTATAATTTCTACTTCTTTGTGAAAATGCACATCCAAATCAATTATCTTGTTTTCACTAGACAGTACACAAAAGAGGTACACACGCCCAGATAATGATGCAAGCGAGCTGGTTGCGCCGTAAAACAGCGCAGCCAACTCGCACAAATTTGTAGGTCTTGACTTCCCTGTATGAATTGCGATATTTATTTTATTTTCTGCGGTGAAGCTGTTGTTTTTCTTAACTCACCTTTCACTCTGGACCAACCTTGGCTCTTATCATGAGCCCAGCAAAACTCGTTGTCATATTATTTTGTATTGCCATTACAATACGGTTTACTTGGAAAACATACTGTATTGGAAGCACAGCCAGGGGCTAAATAGTGTCGTAATCTCGGCGCTCTCTTAAATAACTAGCCTGCGTCAGTATTTTGCCCTCTAGAAATAGGATAATATATAATTTAGTATCTCTCAAGCCATGGACAGACAAACAGACAGAGTGACAGACAGGCAGACAGACCAACAGACGCACTTTCAGACCGGCGGACGGACATTCATTTCGGTAGCTGGATCCGGTTGTCGAAGCCTGATAGCCGTTCCCGTAGTCGCTACTAGTATTTCTTTCTCCTTCAGGCGCTGACACCCCCCCCCCCCCCAAGTCGGTGGTGGCAAAATCAAAACACGACGCTGCCACGGTCTTGCTGTGCCATCGTCATCCTGGCCGCGACTGTATTGACACAAAGCTAGCAACGTCGTCCGCCCTGACCAACTCAGAAAAGGTGGTCAGCCCAAAGATGTCATTTAATAGCGCCGACCGCCGTCCTTGCTGTCGGCCTGCGCAACGACGTCTCTAGAAAAAGACGGTGAAGTGCAACACGCTGTATCGAAACCGCGAGTCGGTCGCCCTGATCAACGCAAAGAAAGTGACCAGCTACTACAAGCAGAGGTCGGAAAAAAAATTATCCGTAACAAATCAGCGGGAAATTTCTGTAAAACATACATTTTTTTTCTTAGAGCAATACAGTGCAAAATACAACCAGTAACTGCAAAATTGTTATTCCGGAAGCCGGGAGTAACCGGTTAAAATAGACCTAGAATAGGTATGACCGCTTAATGCTAGTATCGAAAGGCCGTAACGCACCGGGCACGCAAGTTAACTTTCATTCCGAGTCTCTTATTTTTTTACTCTACCTAATTCTACACACACGCGCACGGCTCTACGATGAACAAGAATATTGCTGCTTACTTCTTCGAGAGCCTAGTAACGGGCTATTTTGCTGTAATTTGTGCGACATGGTGCGCAAGCGAGTCCCAAATCTAGGCTACAGCAACCTGATTGGGTATCTGATGGCGCGGAACGACGACTGTCGGGATCTCTACAGCTTGGCAACTGTTTCCTAGTCTCTGAGCGACTATGGTTTCGTGTCTGACACTACCAGCGCTAGATTCCAGTGGATGCGTTGAAGCGCGGCCTGAAATCTACCTGTCACGAAGGTGGACAACGAGCTGACGCATGTAATGTCAAACTGGATGTTAATCTCTTCCAAGACAATGAAAAGGCTGATGGAGTGTCTAGCAATCAAGGTGCCTCCCTGGAAAAGGAGATGGCCAGATGGTTGGGCTGATGTATGACTGATGGCCACATGCCTCTCTTCACTATTTCGAGATTCTTGCTGTCTACGAAGTGAACGGTAAGCGCCGGCAACCTTCTACTCGGCGAATCACCACTTGAGGAGGGTAGACAAGACGCGGATGCTCACATCCTACTACTGAGAAACATTCTCGGTGTGTACAACGACAAAAATCAAGATGGCGCCCTTTCTCGTCGCTGATAAATGCTCGACCAACAGAGCCATTGCTTCAAAGCTGGACATACCGCTTCGCGGATGCGCTAGCCATAGATTTAATCTGGCAGTCAATATGACTTGGATACGGTGGGGCGCGCAGGAGTTACAGCGCCAGCGATAACATCAAAACGCAGCCAGCTACGCTATCTTGTAAATGCCATAAGCGCATTTTCGCCTGTATCTCAGCAATATTAGCATATTCCTAGTAATGATCAGCATGAAGATGATGAGTGATTCGTGCCAGTGAAGTAGTCGACGTCATCCTTTCCTCTTAGACTCTTCCGGGGCTGACGTAGCGGTGGTCACTACTGAGACCGGTAGAGGGTTTCAGTGTCCACCCAGCGTCATGTCGGATTTGAGCTCGAGGCCATGGGATGGTCATTCGCTAACACTCTGGAACTCTCTAACCTGTTCATGGTCGCAGATACCCCCCCCCCCCCACCACCACCACCACCTCACTACGAAACATTTATTCCAGCTCATGGCCTTGCTCCCTCGTGGACTCCTCGCGATGGTAGTACCTCATCCCATGGCGATAGTGGTGCAAATTCTGCATTCGGCTTCGTGCCTTGGTTTGGTTATCAGCAGCCCGACCTCAAGTCCAGTCCTTCTGACTGGCTTTCTTCGCTGTTCACTGCTGGTCCAGCGGGCCGCAAACGGCAGAGATTTAACAAGATACATTCGATCCAAGCTGCTGGTATCATCACCTCTATGCCAACTGTGATCCACAGATCACGCGCTCCCAAGGCCCCGTGCTGCCCGGCACGCTGAGCCTCTGGGCTCTCCAGAACCCGCGAGCCTGTCACACTCAAAATACCCCAATGGCATTTGGAAAGCCTTGATGCGAGAAAAGTCCACCGCCACGTCATTGCTGCGCTGCTGGGCTTCTTTTTTCTGCTAAGGATCGCTGAATACCAAAAGGTGAAAGGTACTAGACGTGTGTACGCATTGCAAGTGGGAGACGTCAAGATCTGTGACAAACATAAGAAGATTACAAGCACTGCGCATCTGGTGACATCGCTTAAGATTTGTTATAGGGGCAGCAAGAACCACTAAAGTGGGAATAGTACGACACGAAACAAAAGCGGCCCGGCTACAAAATGATATGTCCAGTCCGTGCTGGACTAGCTCTGCTACATCACGCAGACCGTGATCGGAATTTCCAACAAACGTCAGCTGCGTCTAGTGGCCGCCGGTGAGCTCCTATCCGCAGACAGGATGGCGAAGGTACTGCGACGAGCAGTAATTTGACGATAAAGCGTGTCACTCTTTGAGAAGCGGCTGTACAACGGCGCTGCTGTCTGCTGGTGTCGATTGCACGTCGGTTATGTTTCACGGACGATGGAGGTCAGATACTTTTCAGCGACACACGCGCTACGACCGTCAATCGTCAGAGTATCTGGTTATACGTATGGCGAGGAGCGTACCAGAGCGCGTTCCTGGCCGAGGATCCGCTGTAGCTAAGGGGGGGCTCACGCCTCATGGCGTGCTTCAGCGGAGCTCTCATTGCCAAGGCTAATAACAGCTTCACTGGTTTGCCCCAAACTTACTGCCTGTAATGGGCCCAACTCCAACTACATAAGTAGATAGTAAGTTATTACATAAGTAGGTAAAATGGCACACGGGTAGCGTGTGCCAAGGTGTCATCATCTGATTGGTTCATAGTGAGGAGCCAGACTAACTTATTAACCAATC